ACCTTCTTATGGAGTTTGTTTCATCGACACCTCCATTGGTGAATTTCATCTCGGTCAATTTCAAGATGATCGATGCAACTCGAGACTATTAACTTATTCTCTTGTTGAGGACTTCAAAGACAATACCAACGTTTCTTCCGCTCACATGGTCATTATTTTTGGAATGGTTTGAAGGTGGTATTGATAGTTTTAATCACATAATTTACGATGGGGTTTTATTGTTTTTAGGCTTGCATGGTAGAAAATGAGGACGAAGGTGAAGTTACGGAACAAAACGTGACTTTCTTATACAAGCTGAGCCAGGGTGCTTGCCCCAAATCCTATGGCTTCAATGCTGCTAGACTAAGCTTCGAATACCCAATCCTGGCCACACTTGAAGTACGAATTCTTGCAGCCAGATAAAATTAGGGATGCCAAAAAGCGTTCGCCTGAACACCCTGATTATGATCCAAGGACTCTTTATGTTCCCCAAGACTTTTTAGATCAAAAAACTCCTGTAGGTGATTTATCATCGAATTTATCCAATGATAAGTTTATTATTCATTTAATATTATTTTATCTTCCACAGGCTATGCGTCAGTGGTGGATTTTAAAATCTGCTCACTATGACTGTGTACTGTTGTTTAAAGTAGGAAAATTTTATGAGTTGTATCATATGGATGCTGTAATAGGAGTCAATGAAATGAATTTATCTTTTATGAGGGTTTGTAGAGATCTGAAGTAAAGTAAAATACCAAATTATTTGTTAGTTGTATTTTTTTTTTTGTTTGATAGGGAGAGCTTCGAGGACAGTTTGCTCTCTCAGGTTTTCCAGAAAGCGCGTATGGACGTTGCTCAGCAGGTCTTATTGAAAGAGGCTACAAGGTAGCAAGGATCGAACAGACAGAAACTCCAGAAATGGCAGCTAAACGATGCGCTCGAAGTAATTGCCCAATACTATCAACTATCTTTCATATCAATATTTTCTCTACATAAAAGATGTATGTTATGTTTAGTGAAAAAATCAACTAAATTTGATAAAGTCGTTAACCGTGAGATCTGCCAGATCAGCACAAGAGGAACGAAAATCTACACGGCTCAAGACACTGAGGCAGCAGCACCCACGTCAAGTTATTTGCTGTCTATTGTCGAAAAACAAACTACTGGCTTGCCTTCTTATGGAGTTTGTTTCATCGACACCTCCATTGGTGAATTTCATCTCGGTCAATTTCAAGATGATCGATGCAACTCGAGACTATTAACTTTAATTGCTCACCATCCACCTGCTCACATTGTTTATGAGCGAAGCAACTTATNACTGTTAGAACGCTTTCAACCACGAACAAGCCAAAAAAGAGGGCTTCATCATCCCTAAACACGGCGTCGATCGAGAATACGATGAGGTTTTGCTAGAATTAGCTCAGATTAAAGAGGAGTCTGATGCTTACTTGAACAAACAGAAGAAACATTTTGGTGACCAAATTGAATACTGTGGTGGCAACAAAAAAAGATTCCAAATCAAGATCCCTCTTAGTCAAATAAACAAAATTGACCATAGCTACGAATACCAAGGTTCGAAAAAAGGATTTAAAAATTTTTCCACGTCAAAAACTAGGGAATTCCTCGCCAGACAGATTGCCGCTGAAGAACAAAGAGACAAAATCTTAGGGGACAGTAATCGCAAAATTTTTGCCAAGTTTAGCGAAGAATTTGAAAAGTGGAACATTGGAATTTATAATATTGCTGTTCTCGACTGTTTGATCTCCTTGACGGAATATGCCCGAACCTGCGATGTTTGCATTCCGACTGTTTATGATGACACGGACGGTGATGAGGTACTGTTTAAAATGGTCATTTGTGTTATGTTTCGGCTTAAGATACAATTACCTTTCGATATTATTTTAGATAATGATTGAAATAAGAGATGGAAAACACCCGTGTATACCGTCCAACAACTTTATCCCTAATGACACTTTAATTGCTACGAAAGAAACTGCTCCATTAATACTCTTAACAGGTCCCAACATGGGTGGTAAATCTACGCTTATGCGGCAAGTTGGACTCATCACAGTGATGGCACAAATTGTAATAATCACTTGTAAACTGTATTTATCAATGATAATTTTAGTTCTTATTCTAATGGATCATTGAATTTTAATCAGGGATGCCACGTGCCTGCAAGCGCTTGTCAATTAACACTCGTCGATCGCATATTTACCCGTCTTGGAGCAAACGACGATATTATGGCTGGTCAAAGTACATTCCTGGTTGAGTTGAGTGAAACTGCAGCTATACTACAACATGCAACAACTCACTCGCTCGTTCTTTTGGATGAATTGGGTAAATAGACATTCCATGTATACTCATTCATCATCTTATTTCACGAACATTTATTTAAATTACATTTTTTGTAATTATCAGGCAGAGGCACATCCACTTACGATGGAACGGCTATCGCGGCTTCAGTGGTCGATGCTCTTACAAAGAAAAAGTGCAGGACACTTTTCTCAACTCACTATCATTCTCTTGTTGAAGACTTCAAAGACAGTGCCAACGTTTCTTCCGCTCACATGGTAATTATGAGATTTTTAATTTGATCTATAAATGAAAGTGCCATGCATTTTGAGAATGTCATTACCATTGAATTTCGAGATAATATTATGTATGACGAATTGGATTGTTTTTAGGCTTGTAAGATAGAGAATGAGGACGAAGGTGAAGTTACGGAACAAAACGTGACTTTCTTATACAAGCTGAGCCAGGGTGCTTGCCCCAAATCCTATGGCTTCAACGCTGCTAGACTGGCTGGCATACCTGCACACATAACTAAGCGAGCCCAGGAAATAGCAACTAAACTAGAAAACGAAGTAAATCTTCGACACGCCTTTACTACTCTTTGTAAAATCAACGACGGCTTGTCCATGAAAAGCGTACTTAAGAGTTTAACGACTCTTTAAAAATTATTTGTTACCGTTCGTGTCGTTCTATTTTGTAGTTGTATAGTCTTGTACTATTTGGATTTATATTTTTGTACTCATGAATGAATTCCTGAATTTATTGGTTCCTACTTAATGTTTTACTTACAAAAATAACCATATGAATATGAAGTTACTCATTAATAAAACTTCAATGTTGAAATAAATATTGTTTTGTATTGTTTATTTACAGT